TCCGCCCCCCCCCCCCCCCCTCCGGCATATCGCGCGTGCCCTGTTTTCGTAAGGTAGCAAGGTCTTATCTACCGACTACGGCATGCGTTTACATGACTACCCCCCCCCCTTCTCTCCCCATGAGTTAGTCTATGGGTCGCGAGATCCTCCGCACCGTGGGGTACGTGTACAAGAACTACGCCCAACGGTCCCTGGGAAAGCTGGCGCCGAACGTGCTTCAGCCCCAGGCTCTTCGGGGCAGGATGAGGTTCTACTCGGATCAGGCCCACCGGGTCAACAACATGCTGTCCGCGGTTTCGTCCACGACCAGGCTCTACGTCCACCTGCAGACCAGGTGCGAAGTGGTTGGAGATTGAGTACAAGGAGCGCTGGGGTGAGGTGTGCCTCCTTACCGCAGGTTGCATAAGATATCACACCCCCTGGTCCGATTTTCAAAGCTCGATTACTCGGCAGGAAAAGCGGTGGTGAAGGTGCCGAAAATGGCGTTAGGCGTTGGAAATGTCTCGTCGGGAGCGTTCCCACAAGGTATCCTTCGATGTCAGCATCCTCTTCGTCGTGGAGTGATGAAGGTGTTTAAATGGTTCCATGGGGTGTGGTGTCGTATACAACCTACGGTGTTGTGTTGTGCGTTCATCTGCAGACTATTCGCGAATTTGTTGGAGAAGTGACATTAGGCAATGTATTCCAGCTTTTCGTATTTTTTATGTTGAACGCTCATCTGTAGTCGAGGGGGGGATGCGTTCGGTGTGCTTGGTTGATTTGTTCTGGATCAAACGGCACCGGGGCGTTGTCATAGCGCCATGCATGCCTCAACGTTCCAGATTCGATCAAGTAGGGGAAACTCGTCGGCTGTTTCAAGTTGCATGCGGGGCCTTCTTGTTCGGAGGAAGCACCTGCAAGTTTTCGCTCGTGTGCCAGCGTCCCGCACACGTTTCTGCATGACCCGCCTCAAGACAGCAGTCAATTGATGGTGCGCGCCCGGCGCCAATCAGAGACGACCCCATGTCGCGGTGGAAGGTCTACTAGAAATTTGATTACGTGAGAAGTGCGGCCCAAGTATCGATACGAATGTTCCAACCTTGAACGTAAAATATATTGAAGAATAGTTGCGGTCGTTCTGAAATACATGGCACCTCATTTTCGCACGTGTTTTGTTTATGCTCGTTCTGAATTACACATAAACATCCTGCATTATTGCACGTTTGTTGTTTTCTTTTTGCATCTCTTGTCCGCACTGGGTTTGCCCCTCCCGCCCCCCCCACCACAAAAA